GTGTATAATGATGTGATTGTGATGCTGTAATTCTGAGTGTTTTATGTGCTGCAGAACAGGAACCTGCTGTAAAACAGCAATTTTGCTGAGTCAGGCTTGATTTTTAATAATCTTTTCCTGTTAAATAAATAAATCAAATCAATCTTTAATGTGATGAAATTTGTGTAATAAGAGCAGCTGATGATGTTTCTCTGCAGGAGTGAACTGTCAGTAGAGAAAAGCTCRGTGTTGCAGTCGGAACTCCAGTCGGTCAACCAGCTCCAAGAACTGGAGCCACTTAATAAATGTTGGTGCAGATCATCACTTTAACAGACCCGTCACTGAAGGTTTGTTGCTGGTCTTTCTCCTCTCATGCACCGTGCTCTTCTCTTTGCCTCTGAAGGGTGCTTGCTGACCATTATCCTCCTGATGAGGGCACTAGACCCTCTAGGATATGAGAAGGAGACCCTTGCTCACTTCCAGACTCTCAAAGTGAGTACCATCCAGGCCCGGTTCAGATTGAGGCAGTACCGACACCACAGCACAGCTCTTATCAGATGACTTGTCTGTTTCCTGCAGGAAGTGGACTCCATGCGCTCTGCGTATTACAGCGACCTGTGCAGCAAGTTCATGATTGAAAACACCATCCTGAAAATGGAGTACGCTGAAGTGAGAGTCTTCTGCCTCTCTGAGCAGGTTTGTTCACAGCTTCAATTGAAAATAAAATTAAATTCAATTAAAACAAAAAAAAACTAGGTTTTCATCGTGTTTTGTCCATTAGAACCTGACCACGTTGTGCCACCTGGACCAGCTGTTATTGGTCACTCATCTCAACCTGTTCTCCAACCAGCTGCAGCGGCTGCCTCCTCACTTTGCTATGTTGCAGTGCTTGGAGGTAAAGTTCACTGTGTGGTTCTCACTGGATTTTTACACTGATTCTGCTGTTACAGCTGTTTATATGTCAAAATGTCGGCTCATTCAGTGCATGGCTGCTGATTTAATTTTAGATACAAATACTTTCCTCACAGAAATACACTGAGATGTCTTAACCCTTTAAAATGCTTTAAAAAATAGTCAGAAGATTCACATTTTGTAGAACTGACGTGTTTTTTGGGCTTTTAAACAAAATCCAAAAAAAATAATTATAATTTTTTTTGTCACATCACTTTGTTTATGATGTATTTTTTGTATCAAATCTGATACACTGGGCTGTTTTGGTAACATTTTGCTCACAACAAAGTTAAATTAAGAAACAAAAGACAGTTTTGACCATAACTTTTGAAAACTCTAGGAAGTTTACTTCTTTGTTTTTATTTTACAATGAACTTTTTACAGCCATTTATTTCACTTGGTGGTAGGCACAAATACAGTTTCTGTCCTTGTTCAGSCACAGATGTACCTTACACTTTATAAAAAATCACCATCTGTTATCATATTGATGACATTTTCTTTCTTTCTTTTTTTTCTCTTCTTCCTCAGTTTTCTTTGACATCTAACACGTAAATATTTTGTCAGTACAGCGTAGAGATTATAATTTCAAAGGAAACCACTTTGAAAATAACCAAAATGTGTTTTCAAATGACTTTTCATTAATTAATCAATCATCCAAAATAGTGTGTGTTGTGTTGTGGTAAGAATACTGTAGATTAAATTACTAAAATTACTAAAATGTCACATGATAATTCAGGACTGGAGAACCTGCAGTATCAAGTTTGATACACAAATTTTTAACACAGTTTAACTGTACTATTAAAAATATTTTAAGTAATTATGCATTGTTTCAACACAGAAAGTATTTGTTAAAAAATTACAAACAATATTGATGTTATTCTTACCAGAACTTCTCCAAAATTACCTAAAGTTTTCCTGAATAAAATGTGTGGATGACCTCATG